TTTTTTTTGAAATTCTTTTTTTTGCTCTATAATCCACACATTTAGGGGTGCTGATGGTATTCAAGGTTGTAAAGGCAGGCCTGGTTCTCCAGGATTACCGGGAGATATTGGAGGTTGGCAAAATATGTTCTTTAAAAAAAAGATACACTAAGTGCTTATAGTTTCTGGTCCTAGAGGAGCTGCTGGATCACCGGGTGATTATGGCCCACCTGGAGAAATGGGTCCTCCTGGTCTGTTGGGAGCTGTGGTGGGTTTGAGCCTTGCTTCAAAAGGAAAAGACTTCAAATAGTCTCTAGGGGCCTCCTGGTCTTGATGGATTGGATGGAGTTGCTGGCCGAGAAGGACCCCACGGAAAAGATGGCCTTTATTGTCCTTGTCCAAGGAAAAGTGGCTTTTTTAGCAGTACAAGCACGTACTACAATCGCAGTTCATTCGCCGAGGAGGGGTACGGGGATATAAACGGCAGATATGCGTCAATTGAAGTGCCCATCTCAGAGATTGAAATAGAGGCGCCAGTGAGACTCCATTCGTATCAATTTCCCATTCCTTCGATCAACCATTGTCAATTTAGCATGAGCCTGCCAGCGAAAGCGAATATATAACGGGCGGATCTTTTTCACGAAAGCTGGAGTATGAAGGGCGAACATCACAAAAAAGGCAAGACAAAAAAATTCTGAAAAATAGCAAATCATACTGTACGAAGATTTCAGCAGCAAAAAATTCAGCTGGAGCGATAGCACAATGGAAAGCGATAGTTCGTACAGGCCGACGGGAGAATTTGCCAGCAAAAGAAAAACAAAAGAAATCGATACTTGATTCAGGATTATAGATCTGTGTTATAGGTTCTGCAATTGAAAAATAAACACCATAATCACTCTTGATGCAAATTGTTTTGTTTAAAGGATCTGATGGAAAATGCCTATTCTGCCATTTCTGTATGTGAAAAAAAGAGCTTATAATCATACAAACGGAAAAAAAAACATGAAATCCTTGTTATAAAATGTCTGTCAGTTTGCTAGTGTATCGGCTATCATTTTACGCATTTTTTGGTACTGTATCCTTACAACTCTTAGTTCTTAAGCCTGATTAGGTCATATGGTCATACACCTCCAGCTACGCTTCTCACAACCTAATGCCGCTTTTTTTTTTGTTTATGATGTCATTTATCGCCACATCCTGTCCAA